ATCCCTTATTCTTTAGGAAAGGACAATCATACTTGACATGCCCCATTCTTTGACATTCGAAGCACACCGGGGGACCCTTCTTTTTCCTTGATTCATGCTTCACTTCCTTAGAAGTCATGAATCTCTTGAATCTTTTAAAGAGTTTGGCCATCTCTTCTTCTTCATCATCATCTTCATCCACCTCTTCACTTGAATTACTTTCTTCTTTGGATTTGAAGGCAATGCCTACCTCATTCTTCTTCTCGTTTTTCTTCTCTTCATCTTCTTCTTCTTTTACCATCAACTCATAAGTGAGAAGAGAACCAATAAGCTCATCAAGAATGAGTGACTTAGGTTCTTCGCTTAGAATCGTCGTCTTCTTCGATTGCCAAGACTTTGGAAGAGAATAGATCATTTTCCTCACAAGTTTCTCATTAGGAATCACTTCTTCAAATCCCTTGAGACCGTTGACAATCACGGAAAATCTATCCGTAATAGCTTTGATGTTTTCATCCGGTTTCATATTGAAATTCCCATAGCTATGGTTGAGAAGACTGATTTTGGTTTCCCTCACTTCATTGGTTCTTTCATGAGTGACTTGGAGCTTGTCCAAAATCTCCTTGACATTAGAACAAGAGGATACGTTTCCTTATTCATCCGGACCTAATGCACAAAATAGAATGTGCATAGCCTTAGCATTAAGTTGGAACTTCTTATTCTCTCTATCACTCCAATCATCTATCTCACCGGTTAGAATGGAGTATCCTTTCATGATTGAATTCGAAGCTCCTAGATCATTGGCTTGAATGAATAACATCATCCTATTATTCCAATAGGCATAATTTGCTCCATTGAAATAAAGTGGTTTGTTGACTGGTTGAGAGTCTTCAATGTGGTAAGAGTCGTAGGTCGAAACCATCTTCTCGGTTGCGTCGGGAATTGATAGAATTTCTTCTAGGATCGTCTCAAGCTTGTTAAACCTTCTAATGAGCCAAACTCTGATACCAATTGCTAGGATAGTTGGTGATGAATCTAAAATGAACAACCAGATATTTGCCAAGAGGGGTTGAAGAGGATTTGAGAAAAAATTAGGGATTAAGGAGATTTAAAGGATAAGGAAATTGATGCACAATGATTTATAGTGGTTCAACTTCTCAACTAAGTCTACATCCACTACCTTAGCTCCTCTCTAAGGATTTTCTAACAAATTCACTAATTTATTCTCTTTTTTTTCACGTGATAAAAAGATAACATTTACAAATCTCTATCTTTTCAATGGCTAAGATAGAACCATTCCCTTTTTACAAAAGGTAAAAAGAATGTAAACAAGAAAATCTCACAAGGTAAGTGTTTACAAAATTAAGCTCACTAAAATACTAATATTTACAAGAGAAAGGAAAATAGGAGTGAAAAATTCTTTTCTTGTGTTTGATTGCATGAATAGGTGTTCTAACCCTTCTTCAAGTGTCCTCAACTTGTTTTTATAGGTTAGAATATGTTTGTAGCCGTTTCTAGTCGTTTGAGATAATTTTTCTGCAAAATAAAACTGCCTAAGACAAGGAGTATTGATACTCCTTTTATGAGTATTAGTACTTCCTTTATAATATTTAAATTAACTAGCCGTTGGGCTTGACCAGTATCAATACTATGATCATGATATCGATACTATTGTGTAAAGTAGTATCGGTACCCCATTGGGTATCGATATCTATTTTGCATTTTGGAATTTGAAACAACTGGTAGTATCGATACTATATAGAGAGTATCGATACTTCTCTTACCTTTGGTATCGGTACCACATGAACAGGATCAGTACTATTCATATAATATCGATATTGTAAGAACAGTATCCAGAAAAATATTTTGTGCTCAAATTCTAGTTTAATGGACTTTGAATTATTTTTGAAAACTTTTGAAAATTTGAACAAATTCAATTGAAGTCCAAAAACATTTTTGCTTAATTTGTTATATCAAAACATTATAAAACATGGTTCAACAATTACAGTAATTTGATTCCAATAATGAAGAAAACACAGGGAAACAATTTGAAGCTGCACCAAATAAATGACTAGCATACGAGCTAAGAATGAGGAAGTAAATATGTCAAAAATGTGTATTTCCAAAATCCATGTCAACCCTTGATCTTTAAAGCAGTGTGAGACCCTTTCAATCCCAGAAAAAAAAATATCTTTTTCCACCAAAAAACCTTTCACTCTCAAGCTCCTCAAACTCATCAGATTCATACTGTAGTAAAACAATCAAATGCAGATTGAAGCATAGAAGATATTTAATTATATGGAAAATAAATAGCTCTCACATGATATGGTAGGATCTCTACGGAAAGCCACAAGTTGAGTTTTAAGTTCTCCATCAGACGAGAGTAGCCTCTCTGCGGCCTAAGAGATGATGATATAAGTTAAACTGGGTATGGCTAACCAGAAAAGGAACTGACATTCAGATGACGCTTACCTTAGTTATTAACGGATTCTTTAGCCTAGCAACAACAGAATAGTTCACACGGTCACAATCACTGCACAAATTATACAGCGGCAACTTAAAATATAAGTGTGAACATTATGTTATACTACAATTTTGGCAGAATATAGCAGTATAAAAAATTACAAAAATGAAAGGAAAAAAATCTCCTCACATTGGTTGTGGAAGCTCTTTCTTTGTTAGCAAACCATCTTTAACAAGCTCTTCAAGTGAAATCAAGAAAGTGCTTCCTCAATTTGCATCCTGAAAAAACAATCATCAAGGAAAATTACACAATTTCATAAACAATAAAGAGGGAACACATATCAATTAATAGTGAAAGGAAAACCAATTAAATTAACAAAATCCCAGAAGTAATTATTAGTACTCATTGAAACAGGAAAACAAATAATTAAGAAGATATTAGTGAAGCAGCACCTGGCCTGCATATGGTGATCCTTCATCATCAGGAGGAACAAGGGGAAGCACCTACATTGACAATCAATTTTCATTCATTAATACAAAAAGGGATTATCCCATAACATCTCTTGTTCATTTTAGCTTACGCCAACAACATTAACTGAACTCTGAAATTAAATGGGCCCACCTTATAAAAAAACGGAGACTTGTATACCTCCAGCTAAACGTAGCCAATCAATGAAATGAAAAGCTTGTTCGCCAAGACCGCCGATGCCATAAGCTCCACGAAATGATGTGGGGTGGATCAAAATGCCGGCTCTTCGCTGCTGGTTTGGATCAGGCTTGGGAAGCCAATCTCCATAATCAAGTGGTAAATCTTCACCGACTTGCACAGCAGTGAAAGTGGAAGAGAGAACATCAGCACGAAAGCGAAGATTGAGAGATTTGCGGTACGGTTTGAGGGAGACAGGGAAGGAAGGAGGGGATGAGGAGTGATATAATTCTGGAGTGGAAAGGGTGGAGGAAGGAATCGAGAGATGGGTAAAAATCGCCATGAAAATTTACAAACATGAGTGAATTGAGGAATGGGTAAAGCAGACAGTGATTATAAAACCAAGGATCTATATTTAGGCAGAAAACAAGAACCAAATGAATCCACAAACATTAGCGGAAGCACTGCACTTGGTAGGCAGAAATGAACGGGGGTGCACGTGAAGCAGAGCGCAATGGGTTTGATTATTACACGAAAAACTACAGATGACGTGAAAACGAAGTTAATGATCACATGGTAAATGATATTCAAATTGGTTGATTTCAGGTTGAGCATCCGGGAACAAGTTTACTGGAATCCACACAATGGCCGGTAAAGATGATGGGTTCATATTTTTTTCGATTTTCGGGGAATAATATAGACGGGTTTTTTTTTTTTAATCGGGGATGGTCAAGAATTATGTTGAGATTAAGTAGTTTCTTACCGTGCACATGAAACTTATCAAGGTATGATAAGTTTTTTAAAATATATTAAAAAATTAAAATTCGTCACGAGAGCATAATAAGTTTTATATAATTTTATTTTATATCATATGACGAGTTATAAATTTTAATATATTTTATGAAAATCGTTAAGTAAGCGTAACGAGTTTCACGAATACAGTAATTAATACCGTAGATCTCAAAATAATTTTTGAGTCGTCTTATTGGACTAAATAATTTATCCACTTAAATTATTAGGCTGATTTTTCTTGGAATTTAAGTATTGAGAATAAATTATTGGAATGATCACTTATCTGTGTTTTGTGAATTAAATTGATATAATTTTTAAAATTAGAGGGTTAAATAATTTGATATATTTGAAGTTAAAACTGAATCGATAAAATATATAAATAATAAAAAATTAAATGTGTTATTATATTAAAGAATAAATTACATGTTTAATATCTAAATTATTAGTTTTGACTATTTTAGTATCTAAATTTTTAATATTTTTTAAAATCATACTTAATGTTTACTTTTTTTCTTCATTTTAATACCCGTTAAAAATTTCAAGTTAAGTTTTGAAAAAAAATAAAAATTTATTTATTAAAACGGATCAAAAATGATAGTTTAGGTACTAAACGTGTTAAGTTTTTAACGGCGAGTACTAAAATGAAACAAAAAATTAAACGTTAGGTATGATTTTAAAAAAATTGAAAGTTTAGGTACTAGACACACAATTTACCCTATATTAAATTATCAGGTGAATAATTTTATTATTGAGTTAATAATATGTAATATGATTGACACTGTAATAAAAATTTATAATTTTTTATTTAATCATAATTGTTTTATAACTAAAAGGTATATTTTTATCTCGCCTCCACGAAGATTTGCAAATTTTAGAATTTTCACTTTTTATTGAAGAAGGTAACATTGGTTTGATGGAAGGACTTTATTGGTATAATCTTAATGCTTTTATGACTCAATTGGATCTAATTAGAATGTTTTGAAGGTTGAGATCAATTTAAAATAAATATCATAATTTGAGGATGGTAGGAAGAATTAAGCCGAAAGAAATATTAACAGAGGAGATTTTTGAACTGCGGCTTAGCAATATCCGTCCATGAACAGAATCTGCACACTAAAGTTGCTTTGGATAACGAGTTAAAGAGGCAGAGGAAAGGGAAACGAAGAGGGTTTGGATTTGGAAGAAAACAAAAGGATCCATGTTGAGTAGACTGAGATTACACACAGCTGATTTCAGCGTCACCTTTATCAATCAGGCGTTCCCTAATAGCAACCACCCACAACGTTCTGTCCGTAATCTCCGCCTTCCGCTCCGCCGCTCCGCTTCTCGTTTCGTCCGTTCGAACTGTGTTTCAGCTTCATCTTCGCCGTCTTCTTTGTCGTCGTCATCACATGAGCCGTCAGTTTCTACGCATTACATCCCCTCCGTTGGATCCCCCTCTCTTCAGCTCTCTCAAGGGAGCCTCACCGACCGCCACATCCTCGTGCTCAACGTCGTCGCCTGCGCTGTAAGTTCGCCTTAATTATTTCTATCTTTTGTTCCCTTAATTTTGTTGCTTATTGTTTGGGACTTCGCTTGAATTTGTAATTGAAAATGAACGCACTTGTAATTAGTTAATGAAGGTGTAGTTAAAATTACTGGAACTTCAAATCATACTCGTAGAATTTCACTCATTTCAGGAGAAAAGAAAGAAAACCTTATAATTTTGCTGGTCATATACGAAGTAATTTAGGACTCGTACATTTGACTGAGATTCCCTGTCAAAGAACTGATTTCTAATCCCCTTCCACCTTTTCATAGTAGTAAATAGTGACCCCGAGGTATCAATGTGACTATAGTTGATTCCCGTAAATCCATGATTGTTGAATTCAATTTGATGAACCGGAACAATAGATTGGAAAGTCATGTTTGGTTTGCTCTAAATTATTCCAGGAAGGTCTTTCTAGTTCTTGACTGAAGCTTCTAAAGTCCTTCAATGCTCTGGATATAAAGCACTAAGTCGATGAACAATTGAGAAATTTTTCATTCTTTCAAACATGCTTGGAAATCTCTGGGGTTTAGATGATCTGGGTCTGCATATAATTGCTCTCAAATTGAAATCCTCTGCCTTCCTTGTAGCTCTGTCAGTAATGTTGTAGCACAAAGCAAGATTCAGCTCACTAACGTCTTATAACCTGTGTTACCCAGACTTTTGATTTTACCTAAAATATGTGTGGGTTACTTCATCTGACACATGGTTGGACATGGATGTGAGAATGTAATCCTCTAACTATATGAAAAACACTTGCAAAAAGTTGAGTATATATGTGTCGAACACTTAGCCGTATCTGATAGTCTTCAGAGTCCGAGTAACTTAACTTATAAAAAAGATTACCCTATTTGTTTTTTTTTTTATAGAAATTGAAGGTCTCATTAAAAACTCCCTTCGTATTCGTTCACATACTAAAAAGTATGTTAACGAACATTGGAAGGAAGAAAAAAGTACCTCATAGTTTATTAATAATAATACCCAATACATAAGAAAACACGAAATATCCGCCTATGGTGATATACACCATTACAACAAACACCTTAAACTCACACATCCTCATCCAAAAGCCACAGTAGACAATCACCTTATTTCTAAGTTACACCTCCAGTAATAGGATAAAAAACAATGCAAAAGAACGTAACACAAAAGAAAACCAACACATGTAACCATTTAACCTAAATCAAAGCCACAATTAAAGAGACGAGATCTAATGAGATTCGACTTCGTCAGGGGCCGAGTTTGGTTTGAATGAAGGCTCAATCTCATGCACCATGATTTTGAAGTAGTTATCACCGACCTTCAATTCCAACGTCGCATCAATTCTCACATCAGCCTTTATGAGGATTTAAATTTTTGCCCGATCAAAAGATGATGGCGACTGACAACTTTCGTCGATTGCTAATAAATAACCACACTTATCAACAATGTTTTTGAAAGTATCCCAATTCCATGCGTGAAAAGAAACACCCTCGCAAACTAACCATACTCGATGACACTCCACTACCAAACTCTCTAACCAAGCTTCGACTCTGGAGAACCACTTTGCGAGAGTCTCTGATTTATCGTTCTTCACACTTCTCAATGAAGCAGAGTCTTCGAAAATCATTAATACCGCATTTCCAGCAGTTCTCATTAAGGAGAAACCAGTGAGGCCCTTCGCTTGCATTTTTCTAGCGAGATGACCGATTTTGATAAAGTCCTTGCACCACCTCACTAGAAATTTACTTAACACGTGAAATTTATCTTCGTCCATAACACCTTCAACTTCACAATGATTCTTCCTCGAAACACATTCCATCTCAAACTTACGGTGAATTGATGTAGAGGTCTTTCTCCAAAAAGACTGGCGAGGTTTGAATTTAGCCAAAGATACACTAACTTTGCTCCCGTCAATATGAGATCCATTCATTTCTGATATCGTTTTCCTTGCTTCTTCGATTGATGCAAAACGAATGAAACCAAAGCGAAGCGAATTTCTTTTGTTTGGAATGAATACGTCAATAACCCGACCATGGATGCAAAATAATGATCCAAACCTCTTCTAATGGATATTTTCTGGTAGATTTTCTATAAATAACGTGAAGCAACCGCTTCTGTACCCGTTACTTATTTTTAGATGGCCTTTTTAAGTCCAATTTTCCCATTTCTTGCAACTTCACCAAGCTTTTCATCACAGCAACCCTTTTTGGGTCCTTGATTCCATCATGGACAACCACTGCCGCATTTTGAGTTGATGATGTATCCTTGTTCACTGACGATGCCTGCAAATGGGATCTCTTTAACTTATCCTTAATCGACCTCGACTTCACCCTAGCACCTCCCAATCCACCACCAGAATAATTCCCTGATCTAAAATCACTTGCTGTTTGGTTCCTCCTATTGTCGCTCAAAGATCCGTTCAATGGCTGCTGCCGAATAATACTAGAACCACCATTGACCTTTTTCTTCGCAACAGGTGGATCCTTACAATCACCATAGGACACCGACGCCTCTTGAGTCTTCTTTTGGATACAATCAACGCAAGTTTTATTACCCGACTGTATTTGTAGAACCCTTAGTCGCCTCGTTGCTACCCTCTTTAAACCAAAATTCTCGAAGGTAGCCATTAACCGTAGTCTGGGCTCTCCTTTGGTTAATCCCAACGGTGAGAAGGCATTGTATAACCCAAGGAGCAACCTACCTCATCCGAGATAATCCAGCGGCTGCCGTAGGAGATCGATACATTCTACACCAAACTGATCTCAATCGATTTTGTGAAGGGACCCAAAACTCAGATCAAGATAACTGGAACCGGAACGAATCAATCAAGATACCGTCGTACTTAAATAATGAACCCTGAACTTTCTGCCGCCGCTTGTCAGGATCAGAAAATTAAAAAAAATATACTTCACCTGTTAAGTAGGACAGTACTCCGCTATAACCCCCAGAACCTGTGTAGAAGTCCACGAAGATAGCAATGTAGAAGTTGAACGAGATTGCTGAGTTTCCGATCTGCTGTGTTTTGAACGGAATGAACCAGAGAAATATTTTCCTGGAGCTGTTGATGTCACTGGATATCTTAATCGGCGCGGATATACGGAGGAACAGTGATGGATGTTGATTTCGTGGAAACCTTCAGAAGTTAATACCCGACGAACGGCAGCAAGTCTTTTCAGAAAAGTAGTTGGGTTTTGGTCGCGGGTTTCCGGCGAGCACAGTGGTAAGATTGTGACGATCACGGGTGGTAGGTGGTTGAAAAGTGGGGGGTGAAAGGTGTGTAGATCTGCGCCGATTGAAGGGGAATCTCTCAAATCTAAACCCAGATTTGGAATCACCGTGAGCAGACGATCTTCCCTGGAAAAAACGACGTTAAACGGAGGTCGGAGTGTGGCGGCGGTGATGGATGGCGGACAACAGACGGTGGATGTCGGTGGAGAAAATACTTTTTTAAAAAACGCCTGGGCTCTAGATAGAAGCGGGAGCTTCTCACACCTCTACATTATGGGTTTTATTTCAACCGATTAATAATAAATCTATCCTATTTGTGAAAATCATTTATTAATTCTATTATCCGTGGAAGGAATATACAAGGTACCTAGGTTTTCAACAACTGCTGCTATTAAATATTGATTAGCACAAATGTTTTTGCAGAGTGCTTTTTCTTACTCTGTTAATGAAAGTATTAAACAATCAGCAAATTATGTTTATGAAGTATGTCATAATTCTGACAAATCTACAAATCTTTTCTAGTTGGCAGTTTCGGCAACTTGGCTTTTTCTCTCTGCGATCCCTACTCTTCTGGTAGGTTACTCTTGAACAACTTCAAGTTCAGTGATATTAGAATTTCAATAATTAATGGTATAAGTTCTAAAGGATAGTATTTATTCTTGTCCATTTTGTATTATTTTTTTCTGAAAGGCTTTCAAGAGAGCAGCAGAGTCACTAGAGAAGCTGATGGATGTCGCCAGGGAAGAGCTTCCTGATACAATGGCTGCTGTTCGGTTATCAGGCATGGAGATTAGCGACTTGACAACGGAGCTTAGTGATTTGGGGTTAGTATTTCACTTGTTCACTTGATAGGTTGCACATCTCTTCTCTTTTCCCCCCCCCCCCTTTACCCACTTTTCTTCAATATATTTTAGCCCTTTTGACTGATAAAACAAAAGATAACATGCAAGTTTATCTTCACTGTAACCAGTTGTTTATTTGTGTTACAGACAGGAGATTACTCAAGGTGTTAGAAGCTCAACCAAAGCTGTTCGGTTAGCTGAGGAGAGATTGCGTGGGTTAACAGACATTGCTCCATCAGGTTATCCATACATATATTGCTGTTTTAGTTCCTTGCTACGAGCTCTCAAATGGATGCCAATGAACTTTACCTTATTTTTACTTGATTAGCTTCGGTGCAGGTGGTAGCCAGTCAGAAAGCTGAGGTATCACGGCCGGTGTTGGCTCGAACTGCAAGAAGCATAAGGGAGGGAATTGTAAAGGGCCGAGCCGTATTTCAAATATTTTTCATTCTAACCCGGTTTTCTAAGATTGCTCTTAACTATTTTACCAGTCGAGGTAAGCGGTAGAACCATGGAAGCAAGTTTGGATCTGTCTTCTGCGCATGAGATGCCGAATCTTAAAAGAGTGTTATCCAGATTTTTCATTTTCCTTAAATCATTCGTTCACAAGTCCAAGTAAGACATGAGAGTTCATCGTTTGTTACCGCTTGCTGATCACTCTTGTCAATTACTTATAAAGAAAGAGAATCATATTGAAAGCAAATATTAATTTAACTTACCTGAGACTTGATATTTTCAAGTTTACCACGTTCAAAAATAAACTTGTGTTAGTTTCTTGGTGCTCCAGTTTTTGCTTGTATGAACAAAAAAGGGGGTAATTTCTTCATGGAATGAGGGCATGACATCTGAGAGTCTGATGCCTGAATCCAACTCAATGCTACTCAATTTAGTGTTCTTGTATATATATTTTTTAAAAGAAAATTAATTCTTTATTTGATAATTTAAAATTCAATTTTTTAATGATTATTTTTCAATGAAAACAATGCAAAATGTTGAGTAGATAAAGGTCATATTTATCGTTTAATATTTTCAACAATTTTATTTTATTTTTGTTTTTTTAATTATATAATCTATTTAATTATATTTAGTATTTAAGTTTAAATAAAAAAATTATAATAAGTATTTTATTTTTGTCTTTTAATCATATTATCTATTTTATTATATTCAGTATTTAATTTTAAATAAAAATTTAAAAAATATAATTTTAATTCAACACATATCTTTTTAGTATTTAAGTTTTTAACAACCTGTTTTTTTTAATTTATCAAACAGCAAAATTTTAAATTTTGGAATGATTTCGGTAAAATGATTTTATTAGCTTTACAATTAAAATTCTATTGTTTTTTTTTAATTTTTCTATATATAATAAAAGTTTTTGGTTTATTTGTTCATAACTTTACTTGGTCGTTAACAACGTATATATATTACCATCCTATAATCAAAACTGTTTGAATTTAGAACTTCAACGAAAAATAATACTCTCTTAACCATTAAATGAGTTTCATAATGTGCTTTACTATTATATCTAAAGACAAAATTTTCTTATTTTAAATATATACTTTTTCACATTGTATTTTTTATAATAATGTCCAACATTTTCAAGTTTTTCAATCATAAACTTTTAATCATATTTTTCAATCCAATCTTTTTACTATTTAAAGTCTTTTACAACGACACTACCGATATGCTCAAGCTAAATGGTAACAACGACAGTATTATACGAAGTGGAGAAGCGGGAGAATTACATGTTTAGTCCTTTTTTGAAATTAATAATTGATTTTAATTATTTTATCTTTTGGTTAATTAGAAAAAAATATATTTATGAACTCTTTCAAATGTTCATAATTCAATTTAATTTGAGAAAAAATATTCCCTTTAAAATTTTATATTTATATCTTGACCCAACAAAAGTTCATAATTTTACCTTAATGATATATTGAGTAGAAGGGAGCAAACCTTGATTCAACTTGAAAAGAAAAATTGATCATTTTTTAAATTTTGAATTATTTTATTCATCTTGAATTTTTGGTTTAGATTTTAAGTTTGAGTCGAGTTTGAATCTTCATAGTCCTAATAATCTAAAACGAAATTGTTTAATCTTTAGCAAAGTAATTTTGTATTTTTATAATTTAATTCCTATTTTTCTTGTTTCTTCAATTCATCATTTGTTTAAAGTCAAATTTGAATCACATGCTCTTAAGTCATTATAGAATATACATGTAACTTCAATTCACTTCTTTAAAAACTTTTCTTCCATTTTAATCCCTCAAATTTATATTTTATTCAATTTGATCCTTCAACTACAACTCTTTATAAATTCTTTTTTTCATTAGTTTTTTCACTCATTCATATCACATCAATAATTTGTCCTTAAAATCTCTTCTTTTTTGCATTATAAATATACTATATAATTTTAAATGATTTTAATTTAATAAATAACATTACAAATTTTACTTATTTAAAAAGAAATAAAAAAAATTAGTAAAGGGACACACTGAACCCGACGTCGGCATCCAAAAACAGGGAGGTGAGAATTTTATTTTAGGAAAAGGTTGTAACAGCTGGGACCACCAAGCCCACAAGGTTCACCACCTTTTCCCTTTAACTCCATCGGTTTCATTATTAGTAATACATTTTAATATCTTATTTTTTTTTCTAAAAAATATATATATTTAAATAAAATAATCATAAACATTAACCTTTTTAAATTAATTTGGTTAAAATATTAATAATTCTTGAAAAATAAAATTTGAAAATTCATCATCCAAATGTATCTTAAAAGTTATAAAAAAATGTGGTCTACAAAATCAACGAAGATTGGTTCAAGTGTAATAAACTTGATATCGTTTAAACATATTTTGTTTTTAGGTTTTGTATATGCAAAAAAATTTCGTTGAGAGATTCACTTATCAAAATTAGATGTACAATACGAGTCGATTCAAATTAATCATGACAAAACTTTAAGAAATCATGAGGATAATAAAAAAAAACATGATGTACAGAGACCAAGGTCTAGTGATATATATATTCACGTTTTTTCGTATGTTTATATAAGGAGGATGTCGATTTTCTACGCGTCTTTCACTAAAACGTCAAGCACAAGTTCTTCCATTCTCAAATATCATAACAATCATCGTATTTAAGAAAATAAAGTCTAATAGTCTCAAATTTTTATTTTTTTCACTTTACTGTTTGAGTGATTTTGCCCATAAAAATATAAGCTTAATGAGTGACTTCATGTATTTTTTTTAAGAAGTTAAAGGCTGTTTGTACGCGCAGGAAATCCTTGTGGTGGGACGCTTTAATTTGTTCACACACAATCATATTAATTAATCACATAATTTTATATGGTCCATCTCCAAAGCAAAGATTTGTACAATTAATTAAGTATATTTATCCCAACTTTAATGTTTGACCTATCGCAGCCTCCACGCATCTCAAACTCCAAACTCAGTCACATTTGAATTTCAATAGATAAAATAAAACATTTCCAAATTAAACAAGAAACTCGAGACTTTTGCAGTCTAATTTATTGAGGAGACAGCAAACTTATAGACAGACACTCCCCCTTTTATTATATTTTTAAGTCAAGCAAAGGGTTGAATAGGAGGTATAGCCGGTTTGGAGAGATTAAGATAAGCCACTTGGCACATTTATGTTTGAGACGTTTGCTTATGTTCATATTTTATATAGGGTTTGAAATTTTAAAAATAAAAAAATCAATTTAATATTAACTAATGGATGTAAGAGTGCTCATTGATTACGACCCGATATCTATTTCTATAGAGCTCCATACTGTTGGAAAAAATGGATATTTTGAAACTTTGAAGTATATTTTTAATGGATAAAGTTGGAGACTCGAATCATAAAATTATGATTTTAAATTTTATTCCATGAAACTTTTACAATGATATATTGAATGCTAAAAAATGATTGAGTGATTAATGAGAAATCGATGCTCAAAGTAAGTTACTTGTGAATTGTGTTTAAGAAATTAGAGAGCTTATATCCCACATTGGTGGGACATCAAGTGTGTGAAGTGTTTATATATATGATTCAACTTTGATATTGTAGAATGTATAAATTAGGGTGAATTCAAATTTAATGAGGTTAGGGGTGCACATCACAATAAGAGTAATGTGAAAGGTTTAAATTTGTTGTGCCTTCCTTAGGCTTATGAAAATTTATATGGAAACATATTTATTTTTCCTTGAAAATGATCATATCTTGTAAAAATTAAGTAATTGTTACCTAAATTCACAAGACAAAAACACATTCAAACAATATTTTCTCTACTTTCAAACGTTTTTGGTGATTGAGGAATGCGAAGTTAAGGTTTGTTGAGCACTACAATCATGCTATTGCTTTGCTCATATCGTTGTTGTATCATAGGAGACAAATGACCAACGTTTCTCCAGCATCGTAGAAGTGGCAAATATGTCTTAAGAAAACTGTGCGAATAGACCTCAACGATTTTATTCATTCAATTTCATTATTATCGACAAGTAAAAAATTTCTTATTGTTCTTATTTTTTTGTTCGATTATGTTAACTTTATTCTGCTTATTATTTTATTGTTTTATTTCTTTAGCATAACATTTTATCTAACATATAGTTTATAAATGTAAATGTATTGAGGTTTTCTTTTTTAAAAAGTAAACTATCATCAATATCATTAAATTATCTATTGACAGGAACTTGTTTGTCTCTTCGTTCATTGATGATTTATCCCTTTTAATTTGGGCTGAAAATCACGATCGATGAGAGAATGACTGTTGGCATGTGTTTTATTGTGAGAACAAGTTGGTCATAATGCAAATGAGATAGAGTTTGTGTGGAGATTATGAAAGTTTGATATTGCCATCAGTCTTAGTGGAGGGGATTCATAGTGACCCTTGGTTGGTGGTGTGAGACATATGTTAATTATGACTATACGTAGGCTAATGACTTAAATAGATCTTGAATTTCATTCTGGTATGCACATGGATCTGTCAGAAGTCTTATCTATGTATTGTAGTTGACTTGGAGGTCTGTGCATGGGGGACGCAAGCTTATTTGATGATCTAGTAAATGTAGGACATGCCCGAAGGTCTTAGCTAATGTAGAGTTAGTAGTTTATGGAGGTTATTATTTAGACATATAACAATTTGTCCCCCTTGGTCAAGGGAATGTTATAAAGTGGCTTGATACAAGACGTATGGTAGAAAATATAACAACCATTTCTTGATTTTGTTAGATAACAAAAATGTTCTTACTCTTGGGATGGAGATTGCTCATTTCACTTTTTAGAAGACGCAATCATCTTTTCTTTGGTGAAGGTATCATAATTTAGTATATCAATAGTGAGTGTTTTCTTATTGCTGAAGCAAAGGTGTCTTGACTCTCTTTATCGGAGAGGAGATAATCGGAAATATTCTAGTGGAGTCCAGACAATGAACATATGTGCCTTTATACTAATAAAGGGGTAGGAGTATCTCTATGCTCGTAATATACCCCATGGAGGATTCTTAATGCTTACATCTAAATGGTGTAGAGATTTATGTCATCTTGATGCTTGGTAAAGGTGCAAAGGTATTATTGATATTCCAGAGCATGTCATATGAAGATGTTTTACTATTGTTTGG